GAGAGAGAGAGAGAGAGAGAGAGAGAGAGAGAGAGAGGAGGAAGGAGGGAGAGGAAGGGGAGAGGAAAAAAAGAAAGTATTCTGTAGTTGTAAAAACTTGTAGTGTTTGGAGCTTTTGCAGTTATGAGAGAGAAGCCAGCCTGCTCAGCCCATGTGCCTGAATGCCAGTGAATGGTACAAAGATACTACAAACACATGTCACTGAGTTCGTGTCCTCGTGAAACCAGATGGTTCAACGAGTTAGGGGCGGCCTCCTTAAAGAAAGAAAGCAAAGAAAAAACAAGAAAAGATAGTCCAGCCAAACAGACAAAAAAGGGAAACAGATATTCATAAACTGAAAATAACCCACGAATGTTGTAATTGTCGACCCTGTCATCCTCTCCTCTCTTCGGGCATTCCTTTTTTTTTCAAAACAGGTCCTTATGGTCCTGGAACTGCAGCTTTTCTTTTTCCAAAACAGGTCCTTTTCTATGAGGAGGGAAATGCGTTTAAACTTCAAAAGGCTTTCTAGGTTCCTTGTTTTTCAAAACAATCCGTGAAGTCTCTGACACGCAGAAACGGGCACTCGCTGAATGGGTAGATATCCTAGAACTGGGTCTGGACGTTAGGAAGAGGGAACATTTTTCTCTGCCACACTAGACGATAGCATACCCCTTCTTTTTTCAGCCCCCCCGATGTTCGCCACCATTACCGTACTACCCCTTCCCTGCCATCTCGTCGCTAGTAGCACCCCTTCTCTTGGTCCCCTGTCTCTGTTTTTTTCCTGCGAACTCTCCTGCTTTCGATCCCGTGCCTACCCATCCCGTGTGGGCTTTTTCACTGACGCAGCATGGATATTGTTGTCGGACTTGGACTCCCCCTCAGACCTTGGCTTATGTTAGATAGCCTGTCTCAGAGTCTTGTTGCTTCTCCGATTCTTTCTCCTGACAAATATCCCCGATATGCGGCGACTAACCCTACATGCGATGAGAAATGTGTCCCAGATACCTGTGACACGAGAATGAGAAAAAAACGGTGCAGCTAACTCGACGCTGAAAGCACACGCGACGACACTACAACGTGACTACTGGAGGCTTCTCCCGATTTCGTCTGATCTACTACGAACGACTAACCATGGACCTAGAGGTTTCCTCCTTTGATCTCCTTTGTCTTGTTTTGCTCTCTCTCTCTCTCCCGCCACCCGACAAGAGGGTTTCCCGCCTGATGAAGCAGGCAGAGCTACGGTGAGCAGGGTTTCTGTAGGAGCAAAGCGGTGCTGAGATAGTAACACTACCGTAGGGACAATGCTTCTCAAATAGTATTTATTGTTGCTGTTGGGATCACACAAGCAAGCGCAAGCAGTCCCCTGACGATGGCCTCACTCTGGCGGCGAGGTCGAAACTGGTCGGGACGATCGCCAGGAGTTCTTTGTTCTTTTTTACGTTTTCTTTCAACCGAAAGGTCTCTTTTGAGCTGTATCCCGTGTGATTCTTCCTCTTTTCGACATTTCTCTCTCTCTCTCTCTCTCTCTCTCTCTCTCTCTCTCTCTCTCTCTCTCTCTCTCTCTCTCTCTCTCTCTCTCTCTCTCTCTC